AAGGGAAAAATGAAGGGGGGGAATTGGAGGGGGAGACGAACCATGAGAGATTATGGACTCTGAGAAACAAACTGAGGGTTCTAGGGGGGAGGGGGGTGGAGGGATGAGTTAGCCTGGTGATGGGTATTAAAGAGGGCACGTATTGAATGGAGCACTGGGTGTTATGCGCAAACAATGAATCATGGAACACATCAAAAACTAATGATGTAATGTATGGTGATTAACGTAACATAATAAAATAAAATTTAAAAAAATATATGAAATCTTGCCATTTGCAACAACATGGATGGAACTAGACGGTATTAGGCTAAGCAAAAATAAGTCAATCAGAGAAAGACAATTATCATATGATCTCACTCATATGTGGAATTTAAGAAACAAAACAGGATCATAAGGGAAGAGAGGAAAAAATAAAGCAAGATGAAATCAGAGAGGAAGACAAACCATAAGAGACTCTTAACTCCAGGAAACAAACTGAGGGTTGCTGGAGGGAAGGTGGGTGGGGGATGGGGTAACTGGGTGATGGGCATTAAGGAGGATGTGTGATGTAATGAGCACTGGGTGTTATATGCAACTGATGAATCACTGAACTCTACCTCTGAAACCAATAATACACTATATGTTAATTAATTGAATTTAAATAAAACAAAAAGATAGCCAGTAATATCAGTTAAAACACCATCAACAGATACTAAAATTGGTAGATCAAGGAATCAAGATATAAATATATGTTTAGAATTATTAGAACGAGGGGCACCTGGGTGGCTCAGTCATTAAGAGTCGGCCTTGGGCTCAGGGCATGATCCCAGGGTCCTGGGATCGAGCCCCGCATCAGGCTCCCTGCTCAGGAGAAAGCCTGCTTCTCTCTCTCCCACTCCCCCTGCTTGTGTTCCCTCTCTCGCTGTGTCTCTCTGTGTCAAATAAATAAAATCTTTAAAAAGAAAAGAGAATTATCAGAACAAACTAAAATAGGAAGAATTAAAAACTTCATCTTTGGAGTATGTAGTTTTGTATTGAAAGACAGCATATGAAATTATTTTTGCTTTTTATGATAGACCTTTTTGTACTTCTTGTTGCTTCAACTCTTGCTGTTTTGATACAAATACATATTTTTAAAATGAAAGTTACAAATACTTAGAAAAATATAAATACAAAATACACAGCTCAAAGCAGTGTATTATGACAATTGTTCAAGTCCTAGCTCTACCTTTAGCAGTCACATAACATTAGTCAAGATTTTTGACAATTCTGTTCTCAGTTTTCTTACTGTGAAATAGGAATGGAAAAGTGCATGCCTGGGGTGCCTGGGTGGCTCAATTGGTTAAGCATCCAACTCTTGATTTCAGCTCAGGTCATGATCTCAGGGTTGTGACACTGAGCCCCACATCAGGCTCTCTCCCCCTCTCCCTTTACACCCCTACCCCCGCTCATGTGTGTGCTCTCTCAAAAAAAAAAAAATAAGATAAAATTTTTAAAAAGTGCATGCCTTTTAATAGTAATATTGTAAGGATGAAGTCATATATGTAATTACTGCATAGCATATCGTATTGTAACAACATAATAGAGACTACTTATTGTTTTGTTCTGAAAAAATAAAAATAAATGAACTAAGTTTTGAGCAAATGAAAACAAAAGGACAGATTTTAATAGAATCTCTTTTAAATGTACTGAAATATCTTATAGTACACTTTTAAGGATATTGCCCAGTAACTTCAAAAAGTAGTAACAGCCAATGTATTTTATTATCAACAAATAAATTAAAATCCAAAGGATAGTATCACATGCTTTAAAAAAGGGAGATGAAGAAATAAAAGTAATTTGATACTTAAAAAAAGGTTAAAAAAGTAGTAAATAATGGGGGAATCCAACAAGAGCTACCTAATTAAGGTAAAATTTTTTCATCAGAACATTTCAGATGTGAAGTGAAATCACTTCATTGATCTGTTATTACACCAGACTGCTGTTCACTTGTTCATAGTAAACAGAAGAAGGTTTTCATTTGAATTTTTAAAAAATAAGTTGGGAAGTAAAAGGAATCTCATAATGCACAAGTTTCATTTATTATGCATTTTCTCAAGCACTCCAACCTTAATGAGAAATAACACAAGACATCCAAGTGCTTTAAAATCCAAGGCCTTTAATTCATTTTTCAGTAATGACCATAAATGCCTTCACAAAACTTGTTTTTCACGAAAAGAGAAGGCACTAGGCACTACATAACACCCTGAAAGCAGTGATTCCCTCTGATGCTGGTGGAGATAAACATTAAACGGCAGGTTTTAGGTCTTAATGTCCCCTCAAAAAAAAAAAGGACAACAATGAAAATCACACAAAAAATTGTTACCAGTCTTTCTCAGATTCCCAATGCGATTTTAAGTTAATTTTACACGTACATAATTTGAAATTAATAGGTAAACCAGTTAAGTATGATATGGTTTTCAACATGTGTTAGGTTTTAGTTAAATACAGTAAATAGGAAGATACTGTTATTATGCTACTTGGCATCCTTTGTTACTCTTTAGCTGTGCAAAATAAACTTGAAATGATACCTCCTGTAGTGGTATAATTTAAAAGATCCTTGATATGACACTAACAACTTTCAAATTCTGGTCACAAACTGCATATAAATTGTAAGATTATTAAAATACCCCTTTTTGAAAAATAATAAGATGACCATTTATACCTAAATAAGGTTTCCCAGAAAGATATGAAATACTTTAGCATATAAAAGTAGTTGCCCCTTTTCCATAAGGACAATGTTGTTTCACAAAATAACTCATATGATCCAAGGCAAATGATTTCTTTCAAATGCCATATTCTCTCTATGACTTTGAGGTATGCTTCAAGAGACTATATCCATGAGAAAAGGGCACATTTAGGTATAAGACCACAGTTACAAACACAAAGAGGCTTTCTGGGTCAGGAGTGCCCTTAAGAATTGCATTAACAGAAAACAAGAGACAGCTTCTGAAGCCATTTCTTTTACAAACACATACAACTAAATTTGGTTGCTGAGAGGGTAATTCAAGACACAGCTATTTACATATGTGCTATGTCATGTGTGGCTATTTTAAATAGTGGCTTCTGGAGGACACTCCTATTCAAACACAAACCAAGCAACCTTATTCTACCAAACCACAATCTTCTATTTTTGGCAAGGTAGTATTGTTCAAACAAAACAAAAAACAAAACAATGACAACAACAAAAACCTAGCTATAACAGTGATTTAGGCAAAAGTCCCCATGTCTAACAACAGTAGGGAAAATGTTCTGAGAAATATTAATTTGGGGGGAAAAAACCCTACCAAACAAATAATGCTGAAAACTAATCTTATAATCACTTACATGACTATAACATAAAACGTTTATGAATGCCTTTGAAATGAGAATAGTTCAGTTTAAAAAATAGCTGATTATGAGGTTTACAATTAGAATGTCTCTAAAAAACATCCAAGCTAATTAACTTAAACAGGTTCAACTAGTAAATGGTAAGAAGAAATAAACTCTTCCATAATTAATATTAGATTCTTTCTTGCCTTTGGAAAAACTGGTAAGATTAAACTTGAAATGATATAGAATATAATGAAATGAAATCTACATGACAACTAAAAAAAAAAAAAACAAACCACACCAGAGCACTACTAATAAACATGATGGGAGGCAAGAAAGGTATCTTTAAGCAGTGATTACTCAGAAGAATGCCTTATAAAATTGCGTATCATAATCAAGTTAAGAAAAAGCTTCAAGACTAGCAGCTGAGCTTTGTGAAACATGTAGGACAACAGAAGGCACTACAAAAGCATTAATTACTTCTAACTACCATCGGACAGATCAGTCTTCTTCTTCTTAAGAAGCTAGCCAGTGTGAATGTTATTTTTATATCCCCCTGAGTTTTAACATGATTGGGCAGAGCAGCACCAATTTAAAAAAATATCTGCAATGCCAGCACTGCAGTTTGGAATCACTTACACTAATGGCCCCACAGGTCTCTCATAAGAGCACTTTAGAACATGATTAAAAATATAGAAATGCCTTTCGGTGTTTCAGTATTAAAGTGGAACCACCACAGATAGCCATTTTTAAAAATAATGCACTAAAAAGGTCTGTTTAGTCAGTATAGTCTTTCCATCCTGTAGCTAGCATTCACGGCTATTTTCCACGCTGAGACATCTCCTTTGTGCGTTGGGCTGAAATGTCAGTATGTTTCACGGTGCACAATCCTTTTTGGCTGGAAAATCCTAGCAAATGTCATGTCATGCCCGTTTTGAGCAGTATGCCTTGTAGGTCCTCTGGCAATGCTAAGATAATTGCATCTATGTGTGTCCGTAACTTTTCCATAGTGTCAGGTTTCACAGGTAAATGCTCTCGATCAGCCTGCAACTACAGAAGGAACATTTGGAAGCATTTAAATTACCGAGTCTGTATTAATACATTATATTCTCTAAATGAACAATTTTAATGGTCTAATGATTTGGAAAATTCAAACTTACACTAGAATTTGGAGGAATTGTAAAAAAGCAAACAACATGCCATTTAAACGATATATTGCTGAGTTCATAAAAGACTTCTACGTAAGTTAATAGATAATACCTATAGATACCATGTGGTATTAAATGTAAGTGACAGTGTTTTTTGTAGAGCTCATTAGACGCCCTGTAAATACTTTTAAAATAATATGGCATCATTGTGATCTGCTTGAGTGACCAAGTATTTTCAGTCAGATCTACCATCAATTGACCAATCTTAAGTGCTCTCATTTAAAAAGCTACTTCTACAACACATCATGAACAGTCACCTCAAACATGAGGAAAATATCTTCATGGATCTTTGCTGTTTTGGCTACATACCAGCTTATTTTTTAGCTTCAATACAAGGTCTACTGTTTCTACTTCTGTGTGTTTCTGGGTCCAGAGAAGTAAATCCTACAAGAATAAACAAATCCCAAATCAGTAAATACTCAAAATATGTTTCAAACTGCTCTATTTTAACAGGCAAGGCTACTGAGCAGGAAGGATAGGAAGGAAAAAGAAAACAGAGTATATAACTCAGATACAGCATTACAGTACAGGAATAATTCTCCACATGACATTCTAACATTAATTAGATAATTTCTGACATTAGCTAGAACAACTAATAGTTGGGAAATAAAACAAAATGTAAGAAACTCCTTTCTGAGACAGCCCTTTTAGATCAATGAAAAAATTACAACTCTAAGTATAATACTAACCCCCATCCCTACTAAGTAGTAAGTACCTTAATTTATAAGGAACATTAACAAATTAAGACAACCGTGAACATGAACCTATTACTGGCTGTAAACTTTGACATCTACAAACAAGCTCTTCCTCGGCTTATTTGTGGTTGACTTCATTGTATTCCTTCTCTCACAACCATAGTCACTGGGAGTTTATGATTAGAAAGTTCACTTCAAGGCTAGCCCATCTCAAGCTAAATAAAGATGAGACTATTCTTTATATTTTCACAAGGAGCTCAATTTAAAATAGTCTGGTGACACACTATAGATTAAAAACAGTCAAAATACAGGAAAAAAATTAATAATAACTGGAAACATCTGAATCTTGATTCTATCCAGGGGAATGCTAATAAATATTTAACCACCAGTTCTCTAGGAAAAGTCTCTGGTTTGTAGCATTTGCCAATGTGGTATAATACTCCCACTGTAGCCAATTTCAAGCTACCAACCTGAGATCACTGAATGCAAAGTTGGGAAGAGATGTACACAGTTAGCTCCTGTGGGTCAGTGTAAGCAGGACTCTAGCTCACTGCTGGCCTCATTACTTAGCAGTGATGCAATCTGAAGCAAGTCACTTAACTTATAATCCTTAGGGGTCTCATAATGCAGATTATAACACACCTACCTCAATGAATTGTTGTAAGGATTAAAAGACATTATCCATCTAAACCACCTACACAGTCCTTGACACACAGCACATGATCTAGAAAAGTGAGGTATTACTTATTTACAAAGTCGTGGATATGGGTATAATCTCCCAGCCTCTAAGGATAATGTTATCTTTATTTTCAATAGTTGTTAATCATCACATAAACACACTGTTTTCTAACCTCTTCGCAAAGAGCTTCTAAATGGAGTGCCTCCAATTTCTGGGTCATTTCCTTCCGCCGGGTCTTGAACCAACCATCAAAATTTGGAGATTTTAGAAAATGCCTATAAAAATAAATTTTAAAAAAGCAAAGTTTGATTATGACTTACTTCCTCTCCTCAATACCTTTCCTACCAATAGCTTGGAGTACCATGTGAAACAATGGAATTTTTATTTATTTATTTGAATTAAAAAAAAAAAGGTAAGTTTAAGTCCAGGGGTTTTTTTTGTTTTTTTTTTTTAAGATTTTATTTATTTATTTGACAGAGAGAGAGAGATAGCGAGAGCAGGAACACAAGCAGGGGGAGTAAGAGGGAGAAGCAGGCTTCCCGCGGAGCAGGGAGCCCAGTGCAGGGCTCAATCCCAGGACCCTGGGATCATGACCTGAGACAAAGGCAGACGCTTAACGACTGAGCCACCCAGACGCCCTATTTTGTTTTTAAATAAAGCTCTACAGATGGGTGAAAAAGAAGGGGAAAAAAAGACCAACCGGTAAAGTCCAATCCAATCGCCTTTTATTCTAGAGGTCAGCTGAGGTCCTGTTTTCTCAAGTGTCTTCATAAATTCTTCTGGAAGGAACTGTCTTAATTGGGGTGGACTCTAGAAATTAGGACATACTGATTTAAAAATAAGAAATGGCTATACTCCCAGGAGTTAATTACAGTTAGAGAACTCAAATAAGAATTTAACTGAATAAAGTTATACCTTCCATGGAGAGATACTTTTCTGCAAAGGCATCAAGCTTGCCACATATCTTTCCTGAAACCAAAAAAAAAAATTAATCAAAGTTAGGCATTCTTTTTTAAGATTTTATTTATTTGTTCATTTGAGAGAGAGAGAGAGTGCAAGGGAGGGGAAGGGGAGAAGAAGAAGGAGAGAGAGAATCCCAAGCAGACTCTTCGTTGAGCACAGAGCCTGATGTGGGGCCCAATTCCATGACCCTGAGACCATGACCTGAGCCAAAACCAAGAGTCAGATGCTTAACCAACTGAGCCACCCAGGTGCCCCAAAGTTAGGCATTCTTACCTAGAGGGTCTTCAAAAACACATAAACAGACCCCCCTTAAAAGAAATGGGTTTATAAGTTTTTCATCATATGCTCTTTCAATGCATATGCTTTCAGCAGCAATGCATCACTTCCCATAACAGACAAAGCAAAATTTAGATTGAATTGAGAAGTCAGATTTTCAGTAAGAATTTAACTAAATCTTAAATAATTCAAGGGACTGCATATTTTTATTGATAATCATTAACCCTATTGGGTGAGTATGTGCCAGAAAATGTACTCAACATTTTATATGCATGATCTCTTTTAATCCTTGCAACCATCCTGTGTGGCCATTATTACTGGAAAAGAGGCTTTGAAAAGCTAAGTAAGCCGCCCAAGGTCACATAGCCTGAACCTGAATTCAGGTCTACTTGACTTCAGTCCATGCCCTTAAGCAGTACAGTAAAGTTCATTTCAAATCAAAGAGATTTAAATGGAACAAAATTAATTAACATCCATAGACCAAGAAAGAGTATTTTTTTTTTTTTTTAAAGATTTTATTTATTTGACAGAGAGAGACACAGCGAGAGAGGGAACACAAGCAGGGGCAGTGGGAGAGGGAGAAGCAGACTTCCTGCCGAGCAGGGAGCCCGATGTGGGACTCGATCCCAGGACCGTGGGATCATGACCTGAGCTGAAGGCAGACGCTTAACGACTGAGCCACCCAGGCGCCCTAGAAAGAGTATTTTGCCTCAAAATGTAACAGCAAAGATCTCCAGGTTGCTCCCATATGATATTCATAGATAGATTACATTAATAATTACATGGAATCTCTCTTGGATGCAGTCTCCAGACTAGGACCATATTATGTACTGTCTGATAGTGTAAGGCATCTTTTAGTATTTTAATATGCTATTCTACTGAATTTCATAGAATAACCGTATCATCTAGTCACTTATTCCACAAATATTGAGTGCTACCAGATGCCAAACTGAAGAAAAGATAATGAACAAGACAGATAAGGCCCCTGTCGTCATGGAGTTACTGGCCTCATGGATATCATATCAAACTGTGCTCAAGAAAATAGTATCAGAGGGCCACCTGGGTGGCTCAGTCAGTTTCGGTTAAGTGCCCAACTCTTGATTTTAGCTCAGGTCATGATCTTAAGGTTGTGAGATGGAGCCCCACATCAGGCTCCGTGCTCAGCACAGAGTCTGCTTGAGATTCTCCCTCCCCCTGCTCGTGCTTGTTCTCGCTCTCTCAAATAAATAAATAAATAAATAAATAAATAAAATCTTTTTAAAAAGTAGCTTTGAAAACAAAAAAGGAAATAATATCAGAAAGAAGTTCCAGGTTAACTTTGTTTTAAGGTGTAAAATGCAATAATTATGTAATATTTCACAATTATCTCATTTAAGATTCATAGCAACCCTGAAAGGTATTTAGGAAAAGTGGAATTAGCCACATTTTACAGATAAATAAAATGTGAGTCAGAGAGGAAGTGACTTGTGAAAGTTACACAGTTAATATTAGAACAGAGTCCAGGTCTCCTGCAAAGGGCTCTATTTTTAATCACCAAACAAATGAGCAGGCAAAACACATAAACTAAGGTTTTTGTGAATGGGGAAAACATTCATATATCCTTCAACAAATCATTAAATTAAACAAATACCTATGTTAACTTACTAATGGAATGATGAAGCTTTGTGTCAGTTCCAAAAAATAGCGTCGGAGAATAACACTTTGAGCCTCAGAAGGACGTTTCTGTTGTATACCCTTAAAAGAAAAAGCAATGAAAACCTACATTCTAGTGTAAGGAAGAATATAAAACAAAGCATAATTATAGTAGTTCAACTGATATGTAAATACATACTTTTACTTGATTGAAAATCAAACCCCTAGAACTTCACCTTGAATTTAACCTGAAGTTCATTGTGCCATATTCTGTGAAAAAAAACCTTAGCGCAAAACATCACATGTTCATTCCACACTTAAAAGTATCAGTTTACATTGAACTGTCTTTATTTCACGCTGGCTGTATGAGTATTATTTACATTTTCCAAAAAATGCTAACCATCCCCTGTTGGCTGCTAAACTACCTCATGGAAGAGTCCATTACTTTTTCACTGTAACTCTCAAGTTTCTAGAAAGACTGGCACTAGTGGGTAGCTGCAGCTCCACATTTCAAGCCCACAATTGTTGCTGCTTAGGCTTCTGATTTTTGTGAAGCTTTGGTTCAAAAGAAAGACCTCATTTCACATTATCATACATAATGCACATACTCCCTAACTGGATATTGCTTACCTGCACAAGGAAATTTAAATTAATAATATGAGCAAGGAATTACCTTCTGTAATTGTTTTATGATCTCTTCATCTCTACTTAGATATGGCTTATAAGAAGTATAAACTCCTAAGAAGTAAAGAAAATATGGTAAATAATAAGACCCAAGTACCCACATAAGTATATATTTAAAAGTTAATAAAAATAATAAAATATAATAAAAATCAATACCAGGTTTAGAATCCAGGGTCTTTAGGTTCTTCAATTTTTTCACTTTAACCTGCTTAGGAATTTCACCTAAAAGAAATATCATAAGGACTCATTATTATTCGAGTTTTACGTATTATAAAACTGGAATTTTCTAAGATTAATAATCCACTGACTGTTTATTACTTAGTCAGGGATCTTGTAGCTAAAGTATTCTTTTTAAAAAAAGTTTACTTATTGGGGCGCCTGGGTGGCTCAGTCGTTGAGCGTCTGCCTTCGGCTCAGGTAATGATCCCGGGGTCCTGGGATCGAGCCCCACATCAGGCTCCCTGCTCCACAGGAAGCCTGCTTCTCCCTCTCCCACTCCCCCTGCTTGTGTTCCCTCTCTCGCTGTGTCTCTGTCAAATAAATAAATAAAATCTAAAAAAAAAAAAAAATTTACTTATTTATTAGAGAGAGAGAGCGAGAGAGCAAGTGTGCACAGGGGAAGGGGCAGAGGGAGAGAAGGAATCTCAAGCAGGCTTCACGCCCAACACAGAAGCCCAATGCAGGGCTTGATCTCATGACCTCAACTGAAATAAAGAGTCGGACACTTAACCGACTGAGCCAACCAGGCGCCACTGAAGTATTTTTCTTAACATCAAATAATATTCAAGAGTTTATTCCTGGTATTTTAAAACTGGATAAATGCTGGATTATTATAGCATTACAGAAAAAATGTGTAAATTATATAAAATGGGTATTTGATCTTTCATTAATATCTATCATTACTTAAAACTTTTCCCTTTGTCACTTAACTTGTAATTTAAAATCTTTGTGCCAAATACATGCAATTGAAAACCTATGTGCCAAATATTAATAAAATACCCTTGAAGAGTAAATGGAATTGCAAGCAACTCTTACAGTATTCAAAAGTTTTTTCCTGACACCTCCCAAAATTGTTTCTGCATTATAGAAACTTACACTGCCACCAGGTGGTGACAGTGTGTGTCACAACCACAGACCTGAGCCATAGATGGACAGGTCTCCTGAGCAGGTCAGCTGTGAACAATCTGCACAGCATATGCTGTGGTTCTGGTCTTGGGGTCAAAAGAAGCTACAATCTAAACGACCCTCTAATCAGCAGAAAAACGCCTCAAGATAAGCATTTAAAAGTGTCATAAGCACACTAAACAGACTTTTTCTTTTCCTTTCTCCATCCTACCTCTAAGTGTAAGAGGACCTAAGAACTGAAAGGACAATCTAGAGATTATCTAATTCAAGGCTCTAAATTGAAAACACATTTTTCATTAAATTGTTATATACATCTAACTGCTAACTACAGTTATCTCTGGGGGTGGAATTGTAGGAACACAGAGCATTTTCACTTGTAATCTTAAATGGTTAAAAAATTTTAGGGGTGCCTGGGTGGCTCAGTTGTTAAGCGTCTGCCTTCGGCTCAGGTCATGATCCCAGGGTCCTGGGATCGAGCCCCACATCAGGTTCCTTGCTCGGCAGGAAGCCTGCTTCTCCCTCTCCCACTCCCCTACTTGTGTTCCCTCTCTAGCTGTCTCTCTCTCTCTGTGTTAAATAAATAAAATCTTTAAAAAAAAAAAATTTTTTTTAAGAGCATGTACTATGGTAAAACAGGTATTTCTGTAAATTCTCTACTTTGAAATAATTTCAATCTTACAGAAAAGCTTTAGAATAATAAAGATGATACTCTAATTTTATCAACTGCCCCAATAATAACTTTAAACAGACCCTTGTTAAGAAGTCACTGTCATGTACACACAAACTAATATTTTCATCGATTCAGTAAATATTAGTAAATGCAAGATACTGGAAGTAAAAAAATAAAACTAGTTCCTATAGTTCCTAGTTCTCAACTAGTTCAACTAGTTCCTAGTAAGACAAATAGAAATACATGACAATATGCAGGATATGTGCTGGGATAAAATTATGAACAAGATGCTATGGAAACCCAAAAGAGGAGGCAAAGAGGAGTTAAAAAATTATTGAGGTTTCCTAAAGGAAATGATATGTCAGCAGTCTTATAAGAGAAATAAAAAGTTATCCAGAAGAAAAAAAGACCTTTTAGGTAGAGTTAAGTCCAGAAGCGTGAAGAGCATGTTGCCTAAGGAATTATACAGAATGGTAGGTAATAGCCACCATTTACTCAATCCTTATCTGTGCCAGTCCTGGTCTAAGAATACTGCATGAATGATCGCATCTAATCTTCATAAAGAAGTAGGTTTTATTTATCATGTCCATCTCACAGATGAAGGAACTCAGGCATGGAGAAAATTTGGTATGCACCAAAACTGGCTCTTTCCTGCCATCATCCACTCTGATTGGTCAATGCCCCATTCAGACAGGTTGTTAGCTCTAGAGAACAACTTGTCCAAGAACACACAGTTAACATGCTTGAACCAGGATATGAAATAAGGCAGGCTAAGTCCTGAGCCATCACTCTTACCCACTACACTACAAGGGCAGGAATGGAGGGTATGCTAAAAGGGGCAGGAGATAAAAGCTAGAGGGGTATTCAAAGGTCAGATTAAGAGGACTATACAGATGTCTGACATCTCAGTGACTGAGAGACTGAAAGCATGGGTGTGGGGGGTTAGTGGATGGGGAGAGTGAGCTGACAGGATCAAATCTGCATTTAACACACTCACTGACACCAGGTGGTAATGGCGTTAGCCACAACCACAGGCCTGAGCCACAGATAGATATGATTCCTGAGCAGGTCTGCTGGGTTGCACAAAGCAGTTTGAGGTGAAAGAGAAGAGCCAGAGGACAAAACAGAAGCATTGTGGAATACTGCTCCTGAATCTGAAGCAAAACATGTACAGCAAGGAAAGAGAAGAGAGGGAGCTACTGGAGCTCTGTGGAGGAGATAAAACCAAGAGGCTTTGGGGACAGACTGAGAGAAGAGCGAAGTCCAGAAACACTCAGGTTTCCAGAATTTTTAAAGTAAGTTAGTTAGTTAGTTAGTTATTTTAGAGAGAGAAAGAGAAAGCATGTGCACAGGAGAGCAGGGAGAGGGACACAGGGAGAGACGGGGAGAGAATCTTAAACAGACTCCACGATGAGCTCAGAGCCTGACTCAGGGCTCTATCTCACAACCCTGAGATCATGACCTGACCCGAGACCAAGAGTCAGATGCTTAACCAAGTGAGCCACCCAGGCACCCCTCAGAATGTTTTTGATTCATTAGCTGATAGATTTTACTTCGTCCATGTATTCTATCTCTTCCCATGTACTAATTCTTATGAGAACATCTCTCATCTTGAATCTTATGCTTGTGCTTTCCAGAATTCAGAGGAGCTTCTCACCACAAGATTTGTAAAACTTTTGTCCCCTTAGTAAGTACAGAATTAATACATATTTAACCATACAATAGATAACTAATTTCAAGTCATTTATCTGCTTCTGGCTCCAAGAATCCAAATAGCATGTGTAAAACCACAATGGTTCAAATAAGTCTAAATATTTCTGTACTTATTTTCTGTTTCCTTCTGCTCCAAGTCACAGAGAACTTGCACTTGTTCTATCCACCAATACTGTTTATTAACATATTATTTTCTGAAATTCACTGTGCAAAAAAGAACCAAGTATCAGAGAGGAGAAGAGTTCAGCAGTAAGTTTCATATATTCTTTATATTCAATATGTTCTAGGTAATAATGAAGATAGGTTGCAACCATGTCTGTCTTTTTAAAAAGGGAAAAGACAAAAATAAACCCATGCAGCAATCTTCACTCACACAATTCCCCTCTGATTCACTGGATTTCATCAGGTGTAAGATGCATACTGATCTCTAACCCTAGTCATCATTATTGTTACACCATAGTATGTAATAGATATAAAGAAAATTAATCATGAAGATACATTGCCTATTACAAAAAAATTTTTTTTAATGAATATTTGTCAGATGGCGTTGGAAAAAAAAAACAGGTGTCTGCAATGAACCCAAGTCCCATCATTACAGATATTTATTTTAATTAAAAATACTTATTCAGGGGTGCCTGGGTGGCTCAGTTGGTTAAGCGTCTGCCTTTGGCTCAGGTCATGGTCCCAGGGTCCTGGAATCAAGCCCCATGACGGGCTCCCTGCTTGGCGGGGCACCTGCTTCTCACTCTCCCTCTGCTGCTCCCCCTGCTTGTGCTCTCTCCCCCCGCAAATAAATAAAATCTTAAAAAAAAATACTTATTCAATGTCTGTTATGTACAATGCACATTACAGAGGGGTTTAACATTACTAAATTAATAGTCATCACTACTGCACCTCTGTATATGGGCATTAGAATCTTCCACATTTAGGCCAAATATTTTACCTTTAGTGAATCACCAAACTCAATTTCTGGTCAGAAATTATCAGTTTATAATTTGATCCAATATACGCTAATAGAATTAGTTTCACTTTGAGGAATATTTGTTAAGTACCATCATCTTAATATTATATTTCTCCATTTAACAGAATTTGGAACTAAAACTAGGTATAATCCAGAAGAAATAATCCTTTTATATCAGGAGGAATGATCCCTCTACAGGGTTAAAACTAAATGTATACTTCTGGTAAAGTTATGAATCTCAGGTTTGCTGTGCCTTCCCTGCTGGCCCTGCAGAAGATACTTTTTCAGATAGTTTTACTGACCCTCTGAGAATTTTCAAAGACAGAATCCTAAGAAGGGCTGTTGTGTTTCATAACTTGTGCAGCATACGCAGTAGTCCTGGCCTTGAGATCAATGGGCAGAAAAATGCCCCAAGATATATACCCAACACTCATAAATTAAAAGATAAATGGATTGGGGTGCCTGGGTGGCTCAGTCGTTAAGCATCTGCCTTCGGCTCAGCCTGCTTCTCCCTCTCCCACTCCCCCTGCTTGTGTTCCCTCTCTCGCTGTGTCTCTCTCTAATAAGTAAATAAAATCTTAAAAAAAAAAAAAAGATAAATGGATTTTCATGAATATGAAACCAAAAGTAGAGGCGATAAAAGAAAATACAGATAAATTGGACTTCATCAAAACTTAAAACTTTTGTGCATCAAAGGACACTACCAATGAGAGAATGACAAGACAACTCACGGAATCGGAGAAAATATTCACA